CCTCTTTCAAAACCGACAAACGCATCTCGTGGCCCGTTGAAAAGCCCTCTCGGGACTTCTTTTATCTCCCCTGTCCTACGCCCCGGCTCTCATTCCTGCTCTCGTCAGCTAGTCTACCCCGTTCGGGAGTTGAGCCTTCTCCCATCCCAACTTTCTTTTCGAAGAGTTCCCTCACGAGCGACGGATCTTCAGTCGCATGACATTCCGGAAGGGATTCGAACACTGCCCTCAGATTTCTGGTCTGATCCCAACGGAGTCGAGCGAAAGCAAGCGCTCGATGGACCGACTCGGGACACGTGCCTTAAGCAAAATTACTGGTCATTTTAGAATCGGAGGCCTGCTCATTCGTACCGCACCGCGGTCAAGCGTTTCATGGAGCAGGGGTCCTCATCGCAGCTTCTCCTAAAAAATCCCATTCTCGTATGACCATCTCTCAGATGCAAGCGAGAAAGAAAGGGGAGCTGTCCGCGCTGCGCAGCATGTCGAGTCGTATGATAAATGGAGAAAGACTCCTCATTATCAGGCAGAGCGTCTTACTATACTTATACGTCCTTCGCGATGAACGTTCTCTCTCGGTAGACAGCGGACGGAAGCAATCGATGTCAACGTGACCCATCATTGGAGTCTCACTGAGTTAAGGTTCTGACAGTCGGAGAGGGATGGAAGCATTCTAACAGAAGAGCGAGTCGGGACGGCAAATAAATTCTTGAAAGGGTCCTTCTCCGGCACAGAAGCTCGTGAGCTGGAGAAGCTCCAACTGAAACTTCGCCGGGCGGTCTCGGGAGACTTCTTCGAGGATTGCCGATTTTTGTTCGGTCGCATCGGTTTTGAAAACTCATGCTCGATGCTCCAGAGGCTCATAGGCCCTACATTGGAGCCTCGGCGGTCCGATGTCCGTTGTTTTATGCATACTTTCCGAGATCCTATGTGGGTCGGGGAGAGCTAACCCCTTCGAGCGCTCGAAGCTACGGCCAGCTTTATGCAAACACTCCGCCAAAACAGCATCGCGAGAAAACATCGGCTCTTATCTCAAATCCTCCTAATTATGTTTGAAGCCAGTCAGGCGTTGAGAGAAAACTTATTTTTGTACGTCGTGAGAAACCCAAGGAGAAAAGCGTAATTTTACTGGGCTTACCAGGAACCTACTCGGGCGTGCGAGACGCCGTTCAAAAGATTCCCATTCTTGTTTCTTGCGCCATCCGCGCCTCATTGACCGTGAGGCAACTCCAGCACTTATCGATGCTTGAAACTCCGAAACTTCGGATCCTATCACAAATATTTAGCCTCGATGACGCCGAGAGAGCTGACCAGAGGCAACCTGCCGAACGCATTCCGAGCCTGTGGAGAGCCTAGATCATGATGCCGTGGTGAATTGTGTGTTCGTGTTCTTCGACATCGCCAGAACTCAATCTAGCAATGCCATATACAAGCCTGCGCGATCGAGCACTAGAGTCGGACCCCAACCTGTATTTTGAGGAATCAATCTCGCCTTGGATGCAAAACGATTTCGAGTCCCGAAGAATTCACGCGCGAATCATTCTCCGCGTCGTCTCACCAACGAACATAATGTGGATTGCTGCATATTTTTAGGTACCTAAATATAATAAAGGACAAATGTACCGACAGAATAATATGAATTACTTCCGGCGCTCGATCACATCCGTTGCTATCGCAACCACCCTACCTCTGTGCGCGCCCTTGATTAGAACATCAAGGAGCCGGCTCTACGATTCAGTCGGTTTGCTCTCGATTCAAAGAAGAACGAACTGGGATCCGTTGGACGAAGCCATGAGCTATCTGGGGAATTATTTCCGAACCCCGGTATCATATCTTGCCGTCCTCTGACTTTCTATCCACCCAAACGCAATATTTCCGCTTTCAGGAGGTCATCCGGCATTGGAGCGGGCGGACAGTCGGTCGGCCAGTCGGCGGCACCTGTCGACCGTCGAGAAATGGCCTTGAGACGTCATCATTGTGTAATCTTCAAAATGATGTTGATGCGTTTTAGATGACTCTCCGCAGCGTGAATTTCCAGAGAGAAGAATCACCGGATTGGCTCTGCTGCAGCAGCAAGGGTATCTAGGCCAGATGACCATCTGCCGTCTTGGTTGTGCTTTAATACATAAAAACATACATACATACATATATATCATATATTTATTATATATGATGATGAAAGATATGGCACCGGCCCTTTGCCAGGATCATAAGCTCCGCTTAACTCCGCGGGAAAATGTGGGAGCCGAGCACTCCGTACATTGAATCGGCGGTTGCAGCTCGATCTCGGAGTATCCGCTCAAGTCGAACCGGAGCCAGATTATTTTTGAATAGATGAAAGAACGGGCTTTGATGAAAGATCTGCACGAGCTCCATTATAATCTACGTTTTCGTACTTCTTTTTTCATTCCACGCTTGCGACGCAAACTCTTAAGATTCATCCCTGAAACAAATGGAGAATTAACAAAGAGTCATCGAGAGTCCGAGCTCGAGGTTTATTCGATACCTTGACACAGTGACGGCGGACTACCCTCCCCAGCGTTCAGCGAAGCTTTCCGAGATCTCTCTGAAATTCGAACGATGCATGTGCGCTGGATGACCGAGCAGACGGATTGAACGGCTCGGCATTTCCGAGCAGGGGTGAAGGGTGGGAGCCCCGGTAGCTCCTGGCGGGAAACCTCCAAGATACTTTCCGTCATGATCCTCTGTCATCGACACGCTATATTTATTGTTGGCAATAGCTCGTTGAATTCCCATGCAGGGGTCCTCCGATAGCAGCTGTTACCGCCGGCGTCGAACGTGATCATTTTCAACACTGACGCTCGCTGTATCGGCTTGCCGGAGTGAGCTAGTGAATAACTTCACGCCACGAATCTCTGCTCGGGCGCCGACCTGCCCTCGGGCGCGGAAAACGTCAAACATGAAAGAGAATTAGTTTATTAGTTTAGAGGGGACCGGGCTCGCCTAACGAACCTCGGGGCTCAGTGGGACTGGTGTTGTTATAACACCGGCAGGGTTCCGAACAAGCCGGGAGGGTTAAACGCATTTAAATACTCAGTTAGCTTCGAGTCGGATTCCGCTCGGTTCCCTTTTCCAAGAGCGAGTCTCTTCCGAGGAGCAAGAGTCCGAGTCCCGGATACGACGGATGTAAAAATTCCCGGAATGCTGCGGAGCGTCGGAATAAATCAGTTCCTATGAATCTGCATGGACGTCTCCACTGCGAATATTTTCGCGGAGCCTCATATGGCTCACGGAGATCCCTTGCGACGTTCTCGGCGGAATCTCGACGCCTTCAAGAGCAGCAAGAATTTAGGCGGCGAATTTCTACGCCGGCTATCGGTTTGTCTGACAAGTAATCGATGGATTACAGGCTAGCCACAGAAAGCCGCCGATGCGCAGCAGCAGCAGTCCTCGTATCATTATCCTGCTTACTCACGTAAGACGCCGCCGTCAAGAAAGCTTATCCTGCAATCTTCTCCCCGTGTAACGAGCCTTAACCGCCCGCCTCTGACTATGACGACGGGGTTGTCTTCTTCGTCTTCCTCACCCTGACGCCGCTCCTTGTGTTGATGCTGCTGCTGGTATTGCTACTCGACGTCATAATGAGTTTCGCAAAGCTTCCTCTCGGCTCTCACGGAAACCAAACGAACGCTAGCAACGGACACCAACGGGCGATATGGGTCATTCAATGAGACTGCAGCTTGAGCGTCGGAGCGGGCGAGCTTCACAGACTTTCACTTCGCCATCAGCGCATGGGATAAGCTCCTGAACGAGCGCCGCTGCTAGCGCTCATGCGTAGGGAGACTGTTCGAGTGAACTTTTATTACTTTATGGCTTTTTACAAGCTGACGAACTGACTTCGGGCCAGACACTCCGTATGATCCGGTATCTCCAGGAGCGCGGTGGAAGGTGGGGGAGGGGGGACGAGGAACGGCGTTGTGGAAGTCTGGTGAATAGAACTAATTGCGAACGAGAATAAAATCCTGCATAGCTATTGGTCGAACTCCATGTACGCTTCTTCAGGAAAACCTTTGAATAGGAATAAGGTGACGGGAGCGGGAGGGGATACCGGGATTCGTATGCACGGGGACTTTGAAGAACACCATTTCCCAGGATGCCACGATATAGACCTCGGTCGCCTGGAGGGGAATGGATCTCCTCCTGAGTGGTTCGCATACGTGATCTCAGGCAAAACTATGATCGAATGCCGTGGCGCCCAATCCTCCGTCTCCTTCGCGCTAGGGAAACCGTCCTTTCATCCCTGTGGTCGGTTGCACGAGCCGCAATGCCAGCGAGGAAGTTTAAGCAGAATTCTATTCTTCTGTACCTCAATCCCGCATTGACGAGCCTATTTCGAAGTTGCAACACTTGTTTATTTAATTTTTTAATAAGTATAATAATTTCATTGTCACACAGCCGTGTCGTATTTACAAGAAATTGCAGGTGTGTGGTCTCAACGTGAGTAGTATAGAAAAAGTACGGAGTGCCCGAAATCTGCACTGTGATATATTCATGTAACTCCTCGACTTGTTCCATTCGCAAGGCTCCCCAATGATATTTTGAATCATCGGTTCATCACTCATCCGGCGTCATCGTCTTCACCGGTGATCGAGTCCTTCATTCACGCGAACAGAAATTTGATGCTAGTATGTTACAATAATATACAGGAGCACCGATTGTTGCTATCCAGGCTCGCACGGCGGTGCGCCTTGAGTGCGCTCGACTGAAGCCGAAGGTGGATCACGACATGTTCCTGGCACGATTCGCTAATAATAATAATAATTGATTAGGTCCCTCATTCGGAACCACGATGAGAGACAATACGCGGGTCTCACTTAGAAGGAGACAACGAACGATGACAGACCACCTTCGGCTGAAATTTGTGACATTCCACGCGTGCAGCTCGATATTTTGTGCTCGTTGCTAGTGAACGTATTGGGTTAGTGGATTGGTGAACGGCAATCGGTGTCTTTCATTCAATTAGAGAGATCACCCGCCTTTGACTAACTATAGTAGAAGCTGCCTTGAGGGGCTCGTGGATGGGTGTCGGTCGGGATCCGACGCATCGTGCCCGGGTTCGAGCCCGGGCTGGTCATGTGAAGTGCTGCGCTCTGACTGTGTCTGGGCAGCGTTCCTCCGAGGAGACTCCCCTGGGACGCTCGGTGCAGCGTCGACGTTAGCGTGGGAGGTGCTATGTGTCCCATTGATAGGGTGTCGCTTGCTTCGCCCATATCGTCGAACTCGCCTGAAAACGAGGACATACATATTGAGTTTACAAGCGATGAAATGGATGGATAGACATTCGGGATGGAAAACACTCTCCGAATCTTCTGCATAGAAGCCCTGAGAGTACATCGACGAGCGATTGAGAGCCTCATGCCGAAACATTGCACGCAGAAGATGTGTTACTTCCTGTGACGGGGCAGCATCGGAGCCTCTTCTCCGTTCAATTTTTTGCATAGTTTAGACGGCCTCGGAAGGTCATATCGTCTATGTTACACAGGAAATGGCGCTTGCCCTTCCGGCGATAATAGTCGAGAAAGCGACCGAGAGGGACTGCGGAAGGACATAAAAAATACGGTGGGGAAATTCGGCGCCGACCACCGAGATCGAGTCCCTCCGGGACGACTGTAGGCATTTGAGAAATCCGCATGAAGAAATGAGATATTTAGGCTGAAGAGCTGAAATTCGACTGATTAGTCCTCGACGGGTGACCCGTCAGATCCAATAGGGATTCTTGATCTTTCTTGGCGACTTCGTGGAGCTTTCGAGAAGATCCGCCTGCCTACCCAATCAGTCAGCTGTAAGACCAATTCGCTCTCGTGCCTTATTCGGACGAAGAAATAAGCTCGAGCGACCATTTTATCGGTGGGCACGAGTCGGCTTACGGAGTCGCCGACTGTCCGTTCGCCCACCGGTAAATCCTTCTCGAGCCTAAGGTCGTAGCCCACTTCCGACACGCTAGCACCGATCGTCAGGATTGCGCTGCATTCGCACCGCAAGTTTGGATAGCGATCGATACCGTACACGTAGACATTTCCCAGCTCGTGAGATGAATCCACGCGAACAAATTACTACTCAGGCGACCGATGATCGTTTCCTGCGGGACAATTTTCTCCGGGTAGCGTTTCGCTTGATTTCCCTTCACAGCAGGATCCTCTTTGAGCTGATGCCGCTCGGTCTGTCGCAGGGGCCGGTTATAAAGTGACCCCACAAGTGACTGTCTGACGGCCGGAGCAGCTGTCCGCCAGCTAGCCAACAGCTGGCAAAGTCGACAACAACTGATCCGCACTCGCTCCAGAAGCACTCCGCGAACGTTATCCGTGTTTAGCTCTTTCCAGCAGACAATTCGCCTCCTACGTACAGCTGCTACAGCGTATAGGGTCACTTACTTGGTGTGAGCACGACCAACTTCTTCCGTTGCTGTTTTTTCCGTTTGCCTTTCTGCAGTGATCCTATCAGACAGACCATGCTGAAGACGAGGCACACACAAACTCCGGTTCCAGCCGCGAAAACCACTAGCTGATGCTTAGGCACGCTTTTTATATTGGCCAAAAGCTCAATGATACCCGATAGTCCGGGACTCTGTGGTGCGGAAGCTGGCGGATTGCTTCCTGCTCCTCGAGTCGAAGTGGACATCGAAGACCGTAGCTGGCCGTTGTTGGCTGCAAGTGAAGTGAGGCAATATCGTTTAGGAATCGAATCGATCAGATCTGAATCTGACGCAATCACTCATCTCTCGCCAGCCTCAAGCCTCGCCCCAGCAGCTATTTATCACAGCCGAAGCAGAAGAAGAGAAACTCAATACCAAATCAAAATCAGTCAAATCGAACACTGCGAAAATAAGAATCCAATCTACTCGAGAGCCATCGAATCCCTGAAATCAGCTCGGAGGCATCCACTTCTCCCCTACGGCACCCGTTCAGGGCTGCTCTACAAAAATTTCGAAATAGATCTTCGCGAGACACTCCATGGTCGGTCGCAGTTCCCAGAATGTCATGCTCTCGATTCTGCGCTGACGGTGGAGCAGGTCTGAACTACGACCAAAATTGTTCGTCGTCGCGCTTCGGTGATTGCTTCGTAGAGTAAGCTCGCGTGTTTTCTTTGAGTCAAAGTCACCAGGCCCTCGGTAAACAGTCGGCTCGTCACAACATCTCTCCAGGCCGGAACGCTCAGTCGTGGTGACAAGGCATCGTATATAAATTACCCATACACCCATTGGACAGTTCTGGACAGTCAACAATGGTTACGACAATAGCCAGCGATTCGACCCGATTGACTGAACGACTGGTTGGTAGGTTGGTTGACTGACTGACTGGCTGGCTGGTGAGCTGCCTAGCTGGCCGGTGACCCGAAAGGTCGGCTGCTTAGCTATCTGGCTCATTAAGGGCCTCCTCCATTCGACAGGCGATCGTCTGAACAGCGTGAGGAATTGAGGCGATTCTCGAAGACACAGCAGACCGAGAGACAGCGAGCACCCAGAGACCGATCGGCTGATTGACTAATGGAACGACCGTGTAAGTGAATACGACTTTTTATTTGTGATATCATCAGAACCAAAGATAGATGGAAGTCCTTCCTCGAATGTATGCTCAGGCGCGATAACCGTCACGTCCCCAGCAGTCACAGGAGGCGGCTCCCGATTTTGATCTATCGATTTCATCATAGAGTGAAGGCTGAGATCCGATGAGATCTCCGATCTTGAGCGGTGAGGCGATTATTCTTCTCAGAATAAAAATCTCCTGAACACGAGTGGCGTCGAAAGGGCATCGGGAGCGAGAGCGGCGGTGACATTCCTCCTCTTGGAGGTAATCCCTTATATTTCGTCCCAACGAGTCTGGAGAGGCGCTCAAAATCGTTGAATGGAGACAAATAAAGCCTGAAAGCCTTGAGATTGGATTGCGCAAGCTCCTTCAACTTGCACCGTCTTGTCTTCAGAACTTTCGTGGAGCTAACTAAATCGCTCCGTAGTGCTCGAAAATTTGAAACCGAGGAGATGGTCACGCCGATCGGAGGCCTTCAAGTTACACGGCTCACTCAGGCTATTAAATCGGAGCTGGAGAAATTCGGCAACCAGGGTATGGACGATGAGAGGGTTTCCTCCGGAGACTCGAGGACGTTGCCGATTGCATCCAGGTTTCCCGGGAACTATCTCGAAACCCGGTTGTCCTGCTGCGACTTCTTGACCGAGATACTTTGAAAGTCCCGGCCCATCTCTATCATTTGGCATTCTCTCATTGTCAGTCAGATCGAACGGGGGGGGGGGGGCACGGGAGAAGGTGGGTATGCCTCGGAAAAGGAAGCCAGGGGGAGCTACGAATACGCAAGCAGGGCCGCGCGGAGACACGCGAAGACATCAGTAGAGCGAGTGGTCGCCTTCATACTGAGGTGATCGAGTTTGGGAGACCCAACAATGAATCTTAACGGAGACCGGTAGCGCATGAGGAATTTGGCCCCAACGACCGTGTTATCGTCGCGACAGGCAACCGTAGAGATCTCCTTTGCTGTCGAGGGTTTTCCCCGGAATTTCGAAGGAACTCCCTGGAATCGTGGCAAGGTACAGTCGAGATCCTCCGAGTCGATGGAGGCGAGCATTGAGGATTCATGCGGAAGTTCGTCAAAAACAAGACACACATAAAGTCGAAGGAGGGTCTGGACGAGGGATGTCTACTCCGTTGGTTCTGCGCAACTCACCCGAACCATCGATAACTTCGCGTAGTTTCACCGAGTCCCCCGCCGATCCAGGAATCGGAACACTGTAGATGATCGACGTCCCGTTCGGAAGAGTTTTGTCGGGGCTCTCCTCAACTCCCGGCGTGGGAGCAGGAGGCGCTTGCGGAACGACAGGAGGAGGTGAAGCTCCGTTGGCTAGATATTGAGCCGAGAAGAGACAAAAAACACATTCGCTTTGTTTCGGGACACTCTCTTAAAATATTCACGAACCAAGGGGCGAAGAACAGGAACGAGAAAAAAATATATCCAGTATAACATTGCGAATCCTGTCGAACAAAGAGCTGTTGTCAAGGAGCAGCGATCTCGCTCCTTGACAGCAGCGTCACCAGGAACGGGGCCGACAGGGGAAGAGGGAAACTATATATTGGTAGAAGCAGAAGGAACGAATTGCTCAGGAGTTGTGATAATTTAGATCGGCTCAGGCGCAATGCGGTAGAAGCTGGTTTCGGACGAACTTTTAGAGATACGTTTGGGTCGACCGTCGAGGATTATCGGGAGCCGAGCTGAACGACCGAAACACGATGCCGAAACTCACCTGCAGAGAAGTCGCTCGCAGATTTGGGCAATGACGTCATCGGAACAAGCGGTGAGGTTGGGACCGATGCCGTCGAGGACGAGGGCGGTGATGAGACGTAGTCGTCGGTTGTGAATTCTTCATCTTCGTTATCGTACTCCTTGAGAATTTCACGTGATACTGAAACGATTATCGACAGAATAAATTTTCAGGACGGTAAATTTGATGTTCGTCCCGAGCTCGAGGCATACCACGCTTTCGATCTACACACACGCTCACTGTTCCGAGAGGCGGCACGCAACCAAGGGAGAAACTGAGCGAGAGTCGCGGCCGACAGGATCGTGAGCTACGCGGATTTCGCAAGGACCGGTAGGCGGCTGTTGTCGAGCGGGGTTAGCGGTCTTCGGGAAAAACGGCGGAAACTCGACAAATCCGCCTTGACGAGGCAGGAAAAAACCCTCCAGGGAAAACTGATGCTGCCCGCCGGTGCGCTGCTACCGATGCCAGCGAGGGCGACGATGCCGTTGTTCATTGAATCATTGTCGCTCGTTCCTCCGTCCACGAGCCCGTCCTTCGTATGCGCTATGCAGATTGCGTTCTTACGAGGTAACGGTCTTTTTTCGCGCGAACTCTCTTCCCGCCCCAACTTCCTTTTCAGAGCACTTCCTTTTCATCGCAAGCGCCTTCGAGATGCGTGTGGAGCGTTAGCGTGAACGCGCTTTCGCAGAAGTAGGTTGACGGTACGACGTCGTGGCTTTCCCAACCTGAGAGAGCCAGCGCATGGAGGGAATTCGCGCATTTCCGCTAGCCAGGGCTTGCGTTTGTGTCACATAAATTTTATTGTTCCTCCGCGCGGTCCTTGTGATGCCACGTCTGGGCCACAAGTCGCTCCTCATATGTGTAGCCGGCCAGGCTTTCATGATCCAGAACTCACGAGGAATGAGCGCTTATCGAGCCGTTTGACCCGGTCTCCGGATCCTTGCAAAAGTATTCTCCGTATGAGATAAGTCGTCGCTTGTTATTTACCAGGCGCGGCGGAGTCGCCTTTTTCCCGCCTCGCGCGTTGCGACTTCCCGACCGACGCAACGCTTTCCCGGCCGTATTCGCCCATGATGAGGGCGTGGTCGGTCGCAATCGAGCCAGTTGCCCCGCTCGCCGATGTTCCAGGGACCGAGAGTTCCAGCCGGATCCGCAACGTTTTCGCGAGGCCGTCCGACAGCTAGGTTGAGCAACTCTGCCTGAATGCGCTCTCGATGCTTCGGAGTCAGTTTCTCGCCGGAGAAATGCTTCACCGGTACCACGCTTGAATGCGATCGAGCGTACAGACGACTGTGAGATGAACACTCATGGCAAGCGGAAAGAATCTCGACCGTATCTCGCCGGGGCATGCGATCGACGAGAGACGATCTCCAGGATAAATCTCCACGAGATGCTCGCTCGACAGAAGCAAGCTCTAGCTAATCAATATAGCGCTTGAGGAACGCTCTCCCCGGAGCCGATGTACCGAACTCGCTGAATGAGCACGGTCCGGATCCTGCTCGAGAGAGCCAGGAAGGCTTTTCCAGAGGCACTTAAAAAGATGCACGGAGCGGAAAGGCTCGCTCCGAGAGCCTTCGGAACAGCGTTGCGCTCTCTCAGTGGAGAAGTTACCACCGAACTTGGTCTCAACCGCGCAGCTTCTGGTCTCATTGCAGACACACACCCGGAGCGATTCCCATTCGAAGCTCGAGATGTCCGACAGCTCCCAGATCGTGATGGAAGCTTCGCTGCTACTCACCGCAAGTGTAGACTACTCGTAAGAAAATGGCTGCCTGTTTGACGCAGAAGATCCTTCCAAAGCGCTCCTGGCTGGCGATTAGTTGGCACCTCCTTCGTCCCTGGCACTCCGTGAGTACCGTGTCTGTGGCTCCTGGTGCGCTGCATTCCTGTCGAAGAAGACGCGATGAGAGGCGGGCGCTTTCGAACGAACGCATGCACGATAAAGTCACACAACGATTACAGAGGAAAAATACACGAGAAGTGATTCGTCACGTCTCCCGACCCTGCTCCAAGACTTGTCTTGCGGAAGGACAATCGGTCAAGCTCGCGACCGATCGATCAGACGAGTGGTTTCGAATGGCTTTATAATACGGTTCGGTGCAACCGTTCGATACAGAACGACTCGAGCGGGATGACCGGCTCCATCGAAATTCTACGCATGAGCGCGGCTGCCTCCATACGATCAAGGAAAAAGGTTGGGTTTCTGGTATCACAAATCAACGCCGAAATTCTAATCATAAAGGACGTCGCAGGGAGCTTAGCACACCGACAACGGGCTTTGCCCGGGCATTGTGAGTGGATTTGTTTGTCTAGCTGCCGGAGAATTCGGTTGTTGTCGGAGGAGATGGCTGGAAGCATGAATGAGTGGATGAATGCCATCATGCATGCCTGAATAGATATTCGGTGGCCTGAGCTCGACGACGAGTGCGACGTACATCTTCCGTACTGAGCATCGCCGTCAACGTGTCCTGACAGGGGACTCGACATCAACGGAGCTTGGCAAGGGTGAACTTTGTCTCCAACTTCAACGAGCATCCTGGCCCACTGAGTGTCCGTTTCGCTCGTCAGTCGAACACACCAGCTCGGTGTGCGGCGACGAACACCGCGGCTCGCGTGGGTACATCGACTCGGCTTCGGAGCAGGCCGTGGCATCTTCCTTTTCGCATTTTCCCTTGTTCCTCTCCGGAAATGTTGTTGGTAAAGCGTTTTGCAAATATTTGCGCTCGAACATGATATAATATCGACACTAAAGCCGTTACGGGAACGATGTGGAAGCTTCGACGCTTCGCGCCAGCCACGGACAGCCCTTCGGGGGCAAGAGGCGGGAACTCGGCGCTCCGAGTGGAGTCGCGGAGGGCAAATGAGCGAGAAATGACCGACTCGAAGTCGGAGGGACGGACAGCGGCACAAGCTCCTCGAGAGTCCATGACCGAGCGAAAGAAGGATTCACGTTACGGCTCGCGCTGACGGCTCCGGGCTGGCCACGGTGGCGCCGGAGCAGTGGTAGATATCGAATATCGCAGGCGCACATTGTATAATCTGCGATACATATTCATGACAAGAGGGCGTTACTGGACGGCTGGCCCACGCTGGCAAGGCGTTTCGACGCGAGTGAGCGAGATGGAATTATGGCGGGGAGCGGGAGCCCAGCGATAACATTCTCCCATCGATGGATCGGGGCGGACAGACGCCGCTTCTGCCGAGGAGGGAGGGGGAAGGCGTTATGAAAAGGATGAACAAGGGTCGAGCGAAACAAGGGCCACTGACTGTAATCAAAATGGATGGACTCCATGCGTAGCAAGTACTAATATATTCCAGCACACCCTCACAGCATCTTTTCCATTATATCGCCGTCCGCCGCGGGAACATCTAGTCGCTGGAGAGTCTCGCTGGGTATTAGGTTGGCCCGCTTCATTTCCTTAAACATATTGAATAAGTGACCGACCACCGACCGACCAATCAGCTGATGGAAAACCAGCTGATCGAACGGAAAACAACTGACCGATACACTCTCTCGACTCCGGGATCGCCGATCTCTAGGCACGCACTCAATGTTACGAGGAGCCTCGGTTCGGAAAGACCGCGCGATTTCCAAGCACACAGCGGAAGACCACATCTCCAAGGTACCGCCTATGAGTGGCCTGGAGGCCGCTATGGGCGGGAACCCGACCGATGCATTCCATACACAGAGATCAAAGCTGTGAAATTCCTCGTCAGCCCCCTCCATGCTATCGCGACGGTATTCCTATTCCACCGGCAACCATCGGCGAATCTGGCTGATTTGGATCTGGGGATTGAGTCAAAGGAGAATCGCCGTCGATTGGCGAGATCGTTGGCGCAGAATCAATTCGGAAATCTCGCAGCGGAGATTCCTGTCCGGACTCCCTGGCTTCACGATCGGTTGAGCGATGACAGGAACAAGTCATTCTAAACGCTTCCGCACAGAGAGCTTCAAAACATGAGGAAGCGGACGAGCCGAGGAACGATTGAAATTATTATCGATTTACTCGATATCCCCTTAATTGCAAACGCTCATCGTAGGGAAAACGACCCTCCTGATTGGTAGCTCATTTCGCTCCTCGAATGGATCGACCAGCCAGACGGACAGACAGACGAGCTAGAAGGGACCGTTGAATCCTACGTAAATTATTTATAGAGACAATTCCGAATGAATGGGCTCTTTGACGACCAGGCCACTGATCGCGTCTTTAGACGGAACGATCGGATTCGATGCTATCGGCGAGGTCTTTCGAAGCGGACCTCTAGTCACCTCCCAGTTCTCTTCTCTCCCACGAATAGAGAAATCTCGCCTGGAAGGTAGGTATCAAACAGCCAGTCCCGCGGTCTCTCGAACGGTCAGTCCCTTCCGCTCGATGGCGTGACGTGTACAACGGCCTCGGCGTTCCCGGGACGGTGGGGAGCGAATCTGGATAAGGAGGCTGCCGCTCTGGCCGGTGACCTCCATATCAGTGGGGATTTGCCCCAGAGCAGCGTAACAAAGTGCTACGACTCGCTATCGACTTTATCCACAGACGGCGGCGTTGATTAAAAGCCGGCCGGCTATCACATGCAAACACTCGAACTTTGACGCAGCTCAGTCAGTTTCGACCCAGAGGCTTTCGCTCCGTCGTCGGTCGGTCGGGCACTCGCTTGGATCCGATCCAACTCCTACCGGCAACGCAGACAAGAGAGGAGAATAGAATGCCGGCTGGAATCTTCGGGCCTCTGTTCGAGCCGGCGTCGCGCAAAACAGAACAGAAACGGCGGCTCGGCGCGAGCGAGCTCTCCAAGAGTTGAAGAAAAGTCGTGAGGTTGTACTCCACCTACCTTGGCAATGTCGTCTTGCTGATGGCATTCCGTCACTCCAAGCTTGGTGGCTCCAAAAAATGCTGAGAAAATCAACAATCTCCTCTGTTTGCCCTGGCATTTCAGAAGCATCTTCTCGCCATGGCAAACAGTTTTGTGAAGAAATAAATTTGGTCTGCATTGGTACGACACATCGGTTGCTTTCTTGATGTGAGGACACGGGTCGCGCTGTCTGTAAAGAGTGCAAACAGCGTGAGATTTCGGGTCGACTCCGATCAGACTACCGACTAGGGTTCGGCTGCTATCGAGAGCGGCGACCGATCGACATGTCGTTCACTCAGGCAATACGCAATCCCGGACGGAGCCCCTACAATCCTGAAGGACGGTTCGCCGCGCCGATGTCGACGGTCTCCTCTCGGGGCGGAATCCGGACAAGGGGTGGTCATCTTCCCGAGGCTTCCGAGAGACGCAAGACGTTTCCAAAAACTCGGGAGAGTGGGATGGGAGACGGGAGTAGGCGGGAAGGACGATGGGGGAGAAAGTCGGTTGCAATGTTCCGGCCTCTCTCAGTGCTGTGCGGAGGCTTTGACAGTTTTCTGCCCGATCTCTGTGTGGGGGAACAACGAATTTCGACGAGTCTACTTTGAGCTAACCTGAATTCTTTCTGTGGATTGACCTTGCATTCCTGTTGGTTCTTGCACGCCTCCACGAGCAGCGGGAGTGCCCCTTTCCAGATGCATGTGGTTTCGTCTGAGTTCACCGTCGTCGATCGACCACTCGAGGGGCACATCCTGCCGTAGGAAGCGTTGCGTCCGTAGAACACTGTGTTGAACGTGATCGAGGTGTTGCGTGGGCACTTGATGTGAAGCAGATCGCCGTCACAGACGGACTTCTGCATCGTCTTCAGATGCGTGAAAAATTTTGCTGCAATAAATCAAAGACAGTCTCGGATATCGAACCGATGACATTCGTGCCTTCAAGGTCATGCCGCTGAGAAATGAACTTGACTTCGGATGGATTTCGGATGCTCTCCCAGAGCCGGATGTCGGTGACATCGTCGACGACCACCACCACAACGACGACGACGACTCAAAGAGAAGATGGAGAACGAAGAGAAATAAATTCTTGAGGAACGGTCGAGTCGGGGACTCACCGCTACCGGAAAGCAAACGGATGGACCATTGTTGGAGTACAATGCCCTTAGGGGTCAATTTCGTGGATCATCATTGGCCATTATAATGAATTCAAGAGTCAAACGGCTGCTCCCGATGAGAGCACCATTCGCTTCAGATGAGCCGCAGCAAGTAGCCTGAGCCGGGGGAAAATTCCGTCGATTACGACCGCGAGTCGCTCACGCGGAGAGCAGAGAGTTCGTGTGAGAATGTGTGATTCCGCGAAATCCGAGCACCGCGTCGCTCATGAGCAACAAGCAACACGGATTCTTGCGATCAGTCCTCCGAGCTTTTCGCGGGAGATTTTATCGGTACTCCGATTGATCCCGTGTTTCCGTGGAGAGATCACATGTGCAGCGGCTCCCACGGATCATGAAGACAGCCGGCCGGCCTGCCCCCTTCCTGCGCGCTGGCGCTGTCATGAACAATGAAGGAGGCTGAGCAACAAATAGATGGGATACGGAGGAAATAGCTATTGCGTGATGAATGCGCTCTTGCAACGAGAGAGAATGTGCTTCGAGGATCGTCACGTCGTCGTGACCATGAAAAGCCTTCCAGGTTGCTTCCGAAGATTGCCCACGTACCGCGCAGTTCAGACTCCGTGAGAGTCCGTCGACCCGGGCCTGAACAAAAGCATGAGGTACTTCCGGTGTGAAGCGGTCTTTCCCCCCCTCCCCCAGAAGCCTTGGGGCCCGAGACCCTTTTATGGAATGGACAGGAGCGGGACTATCCTGCCTTAAGGGGCACTGGGAGGAATTTCTGATGACAAACCAGGACCGAACGGAAAATCACTGGGATGGGAAGAGCGGCCGGGGAAAACTCTAGATCGAGAGGATTATTCCTACTAGTCCGAGCCTAGAGGCAAACCGGCAGCTGAGAGCTCTATGGTGATCGGCTCAGCCGATACATCGATTCTTTGACAAAAAAGAATGGCAATCTGCTATGCTAAACAGCCGGGCACGGAGTTACTCTATGAAGGACGAAGACCTCAACGGGGAAATTGCGACCGTCGCAGCACTTCCACGACCGACATCTCTCGCATACGCGTCGGCTTCAGGAGCGGCTCCATAGCGGTCATCTTCCACCAGTCAGTACCGCACGCGGAGAGGGCAAATCGGGAAAGCCTGAAGATATATGTAGATGCTGGCGGAGGAAAAGGGTCTTGGATGGATATTATTCCACCGGAGGTCTCGATTCCCCATGTATGACAGCGCTCCCGAGCAGCGCTTGCGACTCCTTGGGTGTCTTTGGAAGCCTGGCGTCCGAGCGAGTTCGTACAGATACATCGAGCCGTCGCTTAGGTCAAAGAAACGGAGCGGAATCGTAGGGACTCCCGGAGTATTCGATCAGGCGTGAACGATTCGGAAAAATAAATATCCGAGCTTCGCCTTCCGGAGATCGAACGATGGGAATCTTCGTTTCTGCAAGAGCACTGACCCTCGTCGTCAAAGTCACCCGGTCGGAGGCGCTTCAACAGTGTGGCGAGGCAGAAGGGGAAACGCCGTGATTAGCGAAGACACCCCCTCAACCCAAGGTCGGATTTGCATATTCATAACTGAGGGCGCGCGTCGTCGTGAGTCGGCCCCATTCAACGTGGCGGATGGAGCGGCAGTGTTTTCCATTCTCACCGCAGTCCACTCGCTGAGACCACGGTACTTATTGAATTCGATGAAAGGTCCAGACCGGAAGCTCTTTTGGCTTGATTCGCTGCAGTTGAACCGTCTCCTCGGATAGCCGAGTGCTTGAAGCATCAGAGGAAGATTGTTCGCCGCGTTGGCGAGTGTCTGGATGAGGTTTCCGCGAACGGCTCTCCGAGTTGAAGCTTGCAGGAGGCATCTCCCTTGACTTCAGACAGCATCTCCGCCGATTCCACCTCCCTCCGAAACAGCGAAGCTTGCCATGGAAGGGGTCGGCGTAATGAGGCTTTCCTCATTTCATTTCTGCGCCTTCCGCTCGCTCTCAAAGCGAATGGGCCGCTCATTCTCCCGAGCGGAGAGGAATTCGCGGGAGCGGGGTCTTCGACGCGGGGCAGCTCGCTTCAGCGAACGGGTTGAAATGATAATCTCGGGAATCCTGTCGTTTGAATACTTGATACCGGAAGACACGGTACTTTCCCAAATCCTACACGGAAGTATCGGAATAGTGTCGATCTTTTTCCGCTTGAGAATCTGTCAAGACTCCGTGCAAACGTCGCTGTAGCAATTATCCTCTCCGGTGTTCGCCGGGTGGCTCCTGAATCAGAATTTGTGAACAGATTCGACAAGTGCTAGACACGAAAGGGAGTTCTAGAGGGCAAGGCGAATTCCCTCTCAGTTTTCACAACCAACTCGGCCCGCCGTGAACTTCGGAGATGGCCAATAAAACTTTTTGAGGCCCAATATTTCTTCATGACGCGCCCTCCTCGCAGGTTCTCGTTCTCTCCGTATCGATGCACAGAACAGTTTGCCAACGGATACGAGCGGGCAAGTTATTCCCCGAAAGATTTTTTTTCGCTTTGCACCACCCTCTGCTCCCACAGATATGTATGAGCCAGGTGGGGAGTTCGGCAAGACAGGAAGCCCACCGATAGAGGACGACAAGTGATCGAATTTCTCACCCGGAACTCGCCATCATCACATGGGAATAGTCAACCTAAATCGTCGCTGGCTACATCATTCCTGCCTCGGCCAAGCGGGGCGACGGTTGAGAGCTCGTCCCGACATTATGGGATCCACACGAGCTCATACGACTGGTGTCTCAAATTGGGGTTTAAATTCAGTGTTGCCGGAAACGAAAAGAATTCAGGATCAATGGAAGGATTCGAATGCTCTAGCCACGTGCTAGGATTTCAAATCACTGCGAAGTGCCCCCACTGATCCTGATGGCTTGCACAGGAATGGGGCTGTCATCAGGAAGTCCGTCGGTTGTACATAGAACCATGGTCGTTCGAGTTCTTACCTCAGCGCGGGATGAAAAATTCCCCCGGCTTGACCCTGCATCGAAGAGAGTCCGCGGCGGCGCTTCTCCTCCTTCAAATTCACGTTATGAAGTCTCTGTACATTCACACGGCCCCCGACCGACCAGCCCTGTAGCGATAACGACCCGGGGTCAGTCCGGAGGGTCCGCGAGTTGGTCCAATGTTCGCCAGCTCCCTCGCTCGACAGGAGGAAATTAATTAAGGAATAACACAGTGGACAGCTCGACAGCAAAGAAGTCCTCATACGAGACAAGCAAAGTGGCGAGGGTACACCAGAATAGAGCGAAGCCACACAAAGAGTCCGCACATCGGGTATGGCGAGAGCCGAGTCACGAAAGAGAACCCCGAGAATCGACTCTCGATTCCAACTATGGGGACTAGTCGTCGGAGTGACGGGGCAGGCCTCATCGACCGAGTCACGGGAAGCGTGTTTTCCATTTTCGGGAGTTGCTCCGTGTCGGTTCCCATTTCCCGGAAGCGAGCTCCGGAGTCGATCCGGCTAGGAGCAAGTCGAAGCAGAGACACAATGCCTTAATGAGCCCAGTCTCACTCTTGGCTAAAAACAAGCGTTTGTCCAACTTTCCCTGCGAGTTTGTGCCACTTTGTCAACTTTCGACCAACTAGCTCGAACGCGCAAAGCCCAACGTTTAGGTAGGCACGTCTCGAAAGTCGCTCCCAACTATGTGCCATTAGTTAAACAGGCTAAAGGCCTCGCCGGCGGAGACCCGGGCTCGAACTAACAAGCACCAGTTAGCGCGGAAAAAGGCCCTACCAGTAGGCGGAAAAAACCGCAGCGCGAATCGACGCGCGTCTACTTGCCGCTGCTGGCAGTAAACGGGTGCCGACAATGCCGGGCGGTGACGCTTCCGTGGAAATAATCACCTGTGGCATCTGAATACTAAACGGAAGGAGGAATCTGCGCGCGTTCGATTTAGGCTCGTCGGAAGCCTCTAAACATCTGTTTAGGGATGGAACGCCGTGTTCTCGGAATTATGAATTCGGGAAGAATATTGGGAGGTCGGAAGCGTCCAACAGGCTGTTGATGGAACCGCGGCCTGGGAGTCCGTTCGGATGAGTTCCCTTCAATTAGTACCGAATCAAACCTGTTGTGCTCACGGATCACCGACACATCCCATTGCCCCCATCCCCCTTCTTTCTTCGCAACCTGATTGGCTTCGACCGACTGAAATGGAGACAGCGAGTCGCATTCAACGATAGCCCGATGCTGATGATTCCGGTAATGGTGAAGGTTCGTGGTTAGGATACTTTGAGCGGATCAGGCCAGAGTGAAGAAAAGAGGCAACGAGGGGAGATTCCTTTGTGCCGAATGGAATAGATGCCGCTCTAGGAATCGGGAGTTTCGCCCCCTGGCCTGAGCGGCTGAAAGACTCCGTGATCGCAGTGATGGTGGTCGCAACATACGGCCTTCCTGACAAGGCCCGTACGAAATCTCAGAGCGCCAAAAAAAAAACGAGAGCGGAGATATATACTCACGGACATTGTTGCCGTACGCGAACGCCGACAATGTTGCTAGACAGATCAGGAGAGCGTGGAGGAAGCTCACAGGGGGTTGAGGGGGCCGAGGTGTTCGAAGCAGCAATCGAAGTTGGGGGAGCCGAACGCCATGCGCGTTCGGCCGCCAGCCTCCCATCGTCGCTGCGCGGTGCCTCACAATGTCTGCAATTGGAACAAAACGATGTGAGCTCTCTATGAGAAAGGCGACCGTTCGACGGTTATTCACAAGTATCAATCTCGGATCAATCATTAGACACGCGGTGAGAAGTACTAATAGACACTACTTAGATAGGTCTGAAATCGACGCTTCTGGGTGAGTACGAGAATCGTAATTTTTTCTACCGTCCACTAAATCTGAAATACCACGACCGATAATGGCCTTCGATATGCTCCGAGCCTACGGGGTCCGGCGGCAGTCACGTTTCCCAGACTGGCTGTCATGATGTCCGCACATTGGACGGAACTGCCTGTTATGAGATAATTCGCGAGATTTTCTTGTGCGATCTCAGAGCTGTCAGGCTTTCAGTCAATTTGGACGCGGCACGATGTTCTCAGTCGTCCGGGCGATTTCATTGCTCCTTTCTAGCGAAAATTACTACAAGCCACCCACCGTTGTCTTTCCCTTTGCCTATCGCTTGCGCCGACGATGTCGTTGTTCGGAGCAGCGGCGAAGGCGTTTAATAAACACTCCCGTAGACCGAACGCATGACGGCATGGCAGGTTTTACGAGCGGAGCTCCGAGCAAGAGCGCCCATTCACGCGCTTGGAAAAAGGGAAGATCAGAGAACGCGGTGTTGGCAGACAGAAAACAACTAAAGAAGGAGCGGCAAGTCAACCAGACAAGTAAGCCAGCGATGACGCCGGAGGAACAAACCATGTCACATCATTGTTCGGTGTTTCCTCTGTTCCTCCGGAACAAGCGGGAGATCATTTGAGGGAGAATCGGTCTTTCTTCTCGGTGAAAAACTACGATCCTGCGACGCCCGGAACCGGAAGTGTCGCGGAGAAGAGTCGTTGTATTGACGAGAACTTCCCACTCTGACGAACCCTTGTCGAGCCGTCGGCGCTCCGGTGGATGAGGTGGGCGCTCGAGAGTGAGAACTCTCGCCCGGTTCCATCTGCATACGAAGTATATCGAAATTTTCGTTTCAGAGGCGGACATATTGAACGATACGGGAGAGCAGCAATCCCCGAGTTGTAGATTCTCAGAAATGCTCCTCGGAACAGCAACGATTTCTTGAGGGTCCGCGCCTGAGTTTGCCTCAGAGGTTCATCCATCGAAGTCTCTGCGAGGATTCAAGACCTGGACCTGACGAGCAGGGGAGAAATGTGTCGCTCCGCTCATGCCATATATGTAGAGCTTTCGTCTTTTTTCTGCGGCGCCAGCGGTTAGCGAAGTGCGTCTGTCTCGGCCGCGTCGTCAGCGAGGGAAAGCCACCCGACTCTAATTCGGTTAGACGCTAAAACGCCCTCAGACAAAGTTGGCCACTTAGTTTCGCCCCCCCCCTTCACGGCGGGGAGCGCGGTCGCGAATGAGCGCTTACGCGCCACCAGCAGATAGTTCTTGCAGAAACGGGGCGTCTGCTCAATGCATTCCTGGATTCCTCTCTGTTCGACAGATGTAACGATACAGAGACGTAGACTCGTCTAAAATCGGTAATCCGAGCGCGACGGGAACGACGATCGCCAGCAGTGCCTCGTAGTGGGGCACGAAATAACTGAAGTCCAATAGAAAAAATTCAAACAAATCTCTGCGCTAATTGAATAGTGAGCGGACTCGATTGGACTTCGGCAAGAAGACGACCAAAACGAAATCCCGATCCTTCCCCGTCTCTCACTGCTGCTGCTCATCTTGCCCGTATCGCTCCCGACTCAAGATCTCGTCGGGTTCTCGTCCCGAGCCCCATTCAGGATCCCGTCCAGGGGGCGCCCCCGGCTCGTCCAGGCTGAATGCCTGCCCCGCCTGGCACTCGTCCGGCAGTTTTCTCAAGTGGGATCGAGGCTGAGTGAGCCCGGTGGCGGCACCGTCGGGCTTCAAGTTTCCCATCCCGCTGTATAGATCGGCGCATTAAACGCTATGGCACTTCTCCACATTTCGTCGGCCGCGTTCTTAGCTCACCCATCTCACCGCCGCCAGCTCCGATATGAGTGTCATCTCGCGTCGCGTTCTCGCGGAGGAATTTCGTCGTCAGAAAGAAAATCAATAGCAGTTATCCATCGCTGCAGCTCCATGAGCAGCCATCTGCCCGTCTGTTCGTCCGAAGACGGTCGGACAAGCGACGGCAATTCGTTCGTTCATCGGTCCGTCAAGGGACGAACCTCGGGGAAAATTGCTTTTGCTCGATTGGAGCGAGAGTTGCCACTCTCGTAGAAGAAGAAGTGGTGATGGCAGCAGCCGCAGCAGCAACGAGGGCAGCAATGAAGCCAGAAAAGAGAGTTGCAAACTCAGCTCTAATTTCCCCGCATCGTTCACTCCACCTGAACGGAAAATGTTCGAAGTCGATGTTGTCGCCGACGAAGGCGAGCGAGGAAGGGACGACCGACGGCCCGGCTCGACTCGACCGATGAACTGGAAGCCTTCGCTGTCGCTATTTCCGCCAAAGTGGTCCCTTCGACCGGAATTTCCACTGGTCGCAACGAGCGATTGCTCTGACTTCGAGCAACTCCAGCATGTTGCCGACGAAGTCTCACGAGAGCGAAGCTGCCTCAGGGGCTAAGGAAACGGATGGAAAAGAAAGTTTGGACTCATCCGAATGGAAATTCGCTCGGGATGACAAAACAATATTTTGTCGCGACGACTCTGTAGCTCCTTACGCGGATCATTTGATATCGGGGTGTCCGAGCTACAGATGCTGCCGTAGGACGACCCTCTCCAGAAGTATAATGTTTTCATCTCGACGGTATTTTCTTCCTCGAGATTCTCTCACTCATTTCCCCGCGGTTCAATCGTACGAAGTCCTGAGCGCCTGAGTCGGCGAGCGTGAGCAGGACGCGGCGGTCGGCTCTGACCAAGGGAACCTATTCCGACATGACCTCGAATAGACAAGGTGGGATCCCCGGAGGAAATACCACTTCTCGGTTCTGTGGGGCTTCCCCGGGCTTTGTGGAGGGTTTCAACGGGATTTCTGCAGGGGACAGCCCGCGGTCGGATTCGGAGCGGCGACCTTGCGCACGAGGCTGTGTCGATCGGGTCGATGCAAATCCGTGTTTGCGTTGTTTTGCTCACGCGGCTGCCCGACGCGATGGTCAAAGTCTCGGAAGTCCAGAGTTCCGGGAGGAGAATGTTCCATCTGCATCTCGCCTTCGAGTCCTGCACCAATGGAGTTGGATGAGTTCGCCCCAGATCGCAGTGCGCTTATTCATTGTATGCCGGTCCCAGGTGGCTCCTCCTGTTGTCACTGATAATCATATTTCACATTTTTATGCGGGACGGCCCTTCCTTGTTGCTTCGTTCGCCGTCTCCGCGTCTCCCGATGACGTGGTGCTCGCTGGGAACGATTCGCCGCCGGAGGTTACGTCGACCCGCTGCAGTCGTGCCTCGTGAAGTTTCATGTGAAAGGACTCGTCTCGAAAGGCGCTCCATTGTTCGGGTCGAACGCGTCAGAGCTCAAGTTCTCCGCCTCGATCCCGATAGGAGTTTCCCGTCTCAGCTCGCAATTTCTTCCGTGGGAAGAACTTCCATCCTGCGGTCTCGGCCTTGACTTTCGCGGCCAAAAGGTTTTCGGGTTTTCCCTATTTCCTTCCCTATCTCCCGAAGTTCCTCATTGAGACGAAATACGAGTGGGATGTCTCTGAAACTTCAAATGAGACTTCGGAAATAACACGGCAGCCACAGAGTTTCATTTGTCAAGGCTGGAAAGCCTTGCTTGGATGTCGGATTTCGAGCAAATTGAATTCTCGTCTACGATCCTATTTTCCAGAGCGCTTCGTATAACATCGGGATTCAAGATGTTCGAAGCGATTCGATACTCGATTCGAAGCGTCTGCCAGGACCCTGTCGACTCTGTTAGCTGCCGATGCTGGACCGAAACAGAAGTTGGTGCGCCCGGCGGCTTATATGCCTCGTTAGGCAGCCGCCGGAGCTGCAGCATCGACAAGCTCGCCGTACCGTCAGCAGCTCCTGTTTCTCGGAGCAGACCTACTCGCAGGCAGGCCTTCCGGTTATCCGCACGGGTCGCGGGACGCGCATGCAAGCTCACATTCGAACGAACGGTCGACCAACCGACCGACTGAGCGAGCCGCATTCGCTCGAAGGCTCGGGCAGTCGCAGCCCTGACCGCATTCCAGCACGGAAAGACTGGAGATCTGACGGCCCACGAACATGAGACCGACCGTTTCAGCGTCCGGAGAGATCAGTACGGATGAGCATCTTATCGAACTCGGGCCGAGCGGGCCGGATTCTACGGCTCCCGTAGAGTTCCTAACCTCGATGAGCGAACCGCTGCGCTGCCAGGAACTCGGACGTGATTTTCTGAGAAAACTCGTACGTAATTTCCCCTATAGCTACTTCTCGCGTTATTCCGCGAATTTACTGCCGTGATGGACTGGGGGGAAAACCGCCGGGTAGAGAGAAGCTTTGTTGGGACTGCGGAACGTTCCGCCGCTCACTCAGCCGAGGGCCAATGATCGGGTGGGTGATTGAGGGCGGGCGAGCGGGCGGTTCATCTTGCTTCTCCCTGATGGAACACGCAGTGTTCGTTGGCTCACTCAGCCACTCATTGGATTATTCGTGGAAGGGAGCTTCATCGAATCATGCCGTGCCCTCAGGCGATGAGACGCTCCGGCGGCTGCTTCCAATCGACCACATGAAAACCACCCGGAGGAGTTCTTGTTCACTTTTCCACTTCCGAGAGCCATCGACCTCGAGTCTACTGCTCTGCCTCGGGCCTCAACCTTCCTCGGCGTTCGAGCGGACTCTGGACAGATAATAATCCTCCACAAACATTCAATTACTTCGCTCTCACTTCGATTAATGGTGCTCTCCGTAGTCGATCCCCCTCTCCGGCCGAAGGAGGAGTAATTGACTTGAGCGCTATCCCAGACAGCTGAATTTCAGATCCTTCGACAGCGCTTCGAGTGAGATCAAGCCGAACGCATCTTTTAATGGATCCATAATAGCGACAACAATAATGATCTGCCATAACACCAGGCGTATCATAAAAGCGTTTGGTGGTTCATAGGCGTCGACCATAAAGACATTCGACGGCACCGCAAATGCGGGTTTCCTGTGGGAAGGCCCTCCGACGATACGTCAGAGCTCGGCTAACGCATCTGTTATTGATCACAAACAGTCATAATAATGTCTCGTCAATAATCACAACGATGACAGACTTATATCCGGTGGCCATTCATTGAAGGCTGCCACCGGAGGCGACATCTACAGAGTCCGATCTGCAGGTGAGTCTTACGACCGCTCAGTAGAGACGGGATAGACTTCCTGGATTTGCTGTCCTGCTATCAGCGATAACGCTTAACAAGCGACAAGCCGTAGATATATCGCATCCGGCCCCTGGCGGCGACCCGGCTTCTCTCCGATTTGCTCCGAACAAGCAAACCAAAACGGAGAACCCTCTTTGTTTGTTTGATGTCCCCGATTTGGACTCCTCCGTGGATCATGCTCGATGGAGTCATCAACTAAAGCGCAGGAGTCGAATCGAGATGGTAGGAATGGAAGCTATCCCCTGAACTCGGTTTCTTCGGTGTGCCTAATGAGCGTCATCCTAACGCTCGATTTGTGCTCCGCTCTCCTCGTAGGCACATTGGAATGTCCCGCCGTCAATGCAGCGCTGTACCGCTACATCCTCTAGCCGCCGCTTTGTGTCCATCCAGCCCGAAATATCGTCGCTCGTCAGCGCGATTGTGCTCTGTACGAATCGCCCCTCCGCCCTCGAAGCGAGAGCTTGGCATCTGATTGCGAGTCGCTGAGGCATCTCTGGCCGTTGGAGCACCTCTGCCGAGCCAGAGTGAGTAAGTTCTGCGAGTTCGCCACGAGAAAGGTTTAGCAAAACATTGGCTCGGCGAACACGCTCCAGTGAGCCAGCTGGGCACCTGCAGGATAGATCTCTTCTTCGGGCCGCTTGTTTGACATCCACCCGCACGGAAGTGTGCTTCAGCGAATACGGATGTCGTCCCCTGGCCCTCGTGGCGTCGAGTGGATGATCC